GGTGGCATGCCCTTCCGAGATGCTGGTGTTGGACAGCCTATGCCGATTCCAGCTTTGGCTACAGCTCTTGCAAATGCTACACCTGAACAGCAGAGGACGGTGAGAGCTTCTGTTGAATTGTTTGACTGTGGGTATTTATTTGTTTGATTTAATTAGATTTAAGATGTTTATATTTTCAATTTGTGACTTGTGAGCAGATGCTTGGTGAAAGCTTGTATCCCCTAGTGGAACGGCTGGAGCGTGATTCAGCAGCCAAGGTTACAGGCATGCTTCTAGAGATGGACCAAACTGAGGTTTTGCATCTCCTGGAATCGCCAGAAGCTTTGAAGGCTAAAGTAGCAGAGGCCTTGGAGGTATTGAGGAGTGTTGCTGCTCAGCAACAGGCCAACAGTCCTGCTGACCAATTGGCTTCACTATCCCTGAATGATAACCTTGTCTCTTGAGAGACTGAAAATTTCGGTCTAGTATCTTGGCAGAGGAGTTACTAGACCTTTATTTGTCAACACTGGGCAATCTTATTAGTTTGGAATATTTATATATGGTATGTTTTTGGTGGTCATAGGATTTTTGATACTTGACTAGAACATGGATTGTTTTGGCTTGATTGTTTTTTTTTTAAAGTTATTTAGTTTACTTGGCTTGTTATTGAGAACTATAAGTTTGTTTAATGTTATTGAAAGTTTGTTTTAGAACAATCTTTTGGTTCTCAAAACTATTTTGGCTTATCATACGGGTGTTAGGAGGGACGATCTGCTGGAATGTGACGCCAAAAAATACTAAAAGAAAGAAAGAAAGAGAGAAAGTGTATACATTAGTTTCGTAACGCCATGATGCTCCTGTTGTTGTCCTTTTTGAGAGGTCAAGTTGATGAAATATAAAAAAAATACAATCGGCGAAACCTTCCCACCTTCATTATTTTTGCTTGCGAAATTAAGGGGAAGGTTCCTGGGTGCTAGCTTGGTGGACAAGACGTTGGGTTTCTTGCTTAATTTTTAATTATCCCTAGAGGAAAACTTGCAGTCAACAAGAACATTGAACCTGGTTCCCCTTTGTCTTCGTCAGCACCGGGGTAGGTGGATGCTTCAACTCCATTCGAGTAGTCTCAACGCAGATTCCTAGCAACATCTTGATGAAACTCGCCATATTAAAACTGAATGCTGGTGAATTTGGCTCTTTACCAGCACTAGAGCTAATAATCAAGGTGAAGATTCTGCGATCGTGACTGGATTTGGCTACCAAAAAGTTTCTACTAAGATAACTTGTAATCGAGGACTGTTCTGTGTTCAAAAATACGCACAAAAAATATAAATTGACTTTTTTGTTTGACTCGGTTTCCGCCAAAGGTGGTTGAGAAAAGATGAGTGTGATTATTTCGGCAGAAGACTGAGGCAGCTCTACCGTACGTAATTCCACAGCTACATAAAAGCCTAGTTGTGAATCAAGAACTACACGGTGGTAACCTAAGAAAATAGATTCACCGCTTCCCTTGAGCAAGAAAAATGAATCCACCAAAAGCTCGATGCATCTCGGAATGCTTTGTGAAACCACCACATGTTTCTCAAGAATCGAAGCAGCCCTTCTACCTGACAACATGGGATCTAGCCATGCTTTCTGTTCAGTATATCCAAAAGGGCCTTCTCTTTCCCAAACCTCCGCCAGAGGATTGTCAACAAGACCTGATCAAGAATATCTTGGACAGGCTCAAGAAGTCCCTTTCCCTCTCCCTTGTTCATTTCTACCCTCTTGCAGGTCGTCTTGCAACAAGAAGAGAGGAAAACCCCCCTGCTTATTCTGTCTTTGTTGATTGCAACAACAGCCCTGGGGCCAAATTTATCCACGCAGCTGTCGACACAACAGTATCCCACATTCTTTCCCCAACTTATGTGCCATTGGTTGTTCAATCATTCTTTGACCATGACAGAGCAATCAACCATGATGGCCACACCAGACCTTTGCTGTCTATTCAGGTCACGGAGCTGGTTGATGGGGTATTCATAGGGTGTTCTATGAACCATGCTCTTGGGGATGGAGCCACCTTCTGGCATTTCTTCAACACATTGTCCGAAATATTTCAAGCACAGGGAGATAATGTAAAAATCTCACGCCAACCTGTGCTCAAGAGGTGGTTTCCAGAGGGTCATGGCCCACTAATTAACCTTCCTTTCACTCACCAGGATGAGTTTATCGGAAGATTTGAAGCACCCCAACTGTTAGAGAGAATCTTCCACTTCTCAGCAGAGTCCATTGCAAAACTCAAAGCAAGGGCCAATTCAGAATACAACACCAGCAAAATCTCCTCCTTCCAGTCTTTATCTGCGTTTGTCTGGATGTCAATAACAAAGGCGCGCCGTTTTCCAAATGACCAAGTAACTAGTTGCAGGTTGGCTATAAATAACAGATCAAGACTGGATCCACCCTTGTCCCCAGATTACTTTGGGAACTCAATTCAAACTGTGAGAGCAGTAACTACAGCAGGTGAACTGCTCGAGCAGAATCTTGGATGGGCTGCTTGGCAATTGCACCTAGCTGTGGTTAACCACACAGACAAATCAGTGCGTGGTTTTGTCAATGATTGGCTTCGTTCACCATTTATCTACCAGCTTGGTCAGTTTTTTGATCCACAAAGTGTAATGATGGGAAGCTCACCGAGATTCAACAAGTACGGAAATGAGTTTGGGTTGGGGAAAGCACTGGCACTTCGCAGTGGATATGCTCATAAGTTTGATGGGAAAGTTTCCTCATATCCAGGACGCGAAGGTGGAGGAAGCATAGACTTGGAGGTCTGCCTTCCAGCTCACTCTATGAATGCTCTTGAATCGGATGAGGAGTTCATGGCTGCTGTTTCTTCCTCTATTGAAGCTTAAATTTTAATTCTGTAACTGTCCCCTGCGCATCATGTCCTACCTACTACCACATGTTTTCTTTCGTTTGTTTCCAACCCTCGTCTACAATGCCACAACTAAGAAGACAAAAGAGTGGGATGGAAATGATTCAGAAAATAAAATATTGAATTTTCTTCAATATCTGCTGACTTTTTCCTAATGTTTCTATTAATTCATTCTAGAGATTAAGGACTTTTCTTTAGTTGAATCTTGACGAAGATATTGCAGCTATACTAATCAATTTAAAACATTATGAACTAAATTGCTTCTTGAGCAAATGTTTTCAAGTATATGCTTTTATTAAATTTCAGGTACTTAGCCTTGGCAATTAAAACTTTATTAAATTAAATACTTATAAATGCTTTACCACTATGGCTGGACGGCAAAGAAAACGTATATTTGCATTTTCAATTGTTAACTCTGAAACAGACTGAAGACGCTGTCCTAGTCTCCTAGCTATAATTCTACGGCTACACCAAGCAAAGCTATGAATGAAAGCTAGACTATTGGAAACCAAAGAAACTACCATCCTTTGAGTGGAGAAATGAATTCCCCAACTGTCTGATACATATCAGAATGCGTTGTGAAACCCCATTATGTTTCAGAAGAATCGAAGCAACCGTTTTATCTGGCGCCATGCTTTCTTTACACTGCATTCAAAGCGGCCTTCTCTTTTCCAAACCTCCAGGTAAGTGCCAACAAGACATGATCAAGAATCACTTGCAGGGCCTGAAGAGTTCCCTCTCCCTCATCCTTGTTCATTTCTACCCACTTGCAGGCCGCCTCGCGACAAGAAAAGATGAAAGCCCGCCTTCCTATTTTGTCTTTGTTGATTGGGGCGCCCAATTAATTCATGCAGCAGTTGACATGACAACATCCGATATTGTTTCCCCAGATTGCCATTGGTTGTTCGATCATGATGGAGCTGTCAACCATGATGGTCACGCCAGGCCTTTGGTATTAATTCAGGTCACGGGTGGATGGTGTATTCATAGGGTGCTCTGTGAACCACCTTCTGGCATTTCCTCAGCAGATTGTCAGAGTTATTTAGAGCGCAAGGAAGAAATGCACAAATCACACGCCCACCGGTGCTTAAGAGGTGGTTCCCAGAGGGGCATGGTCCACTAATTAACCTTCCATTCACCCAACCGGATGAATTTATTAGCAGATTCGAAGCACCCCAAGATTTAGAGAGAATCTTCGACTTCTCAGCAGAGTATATTGCAAAACTCAAAGCAAGGGTCAATTCAGAATATAACACCGGTAACATCTCCTCCTTTCAGTCCTTGTCTGCGCTCGTTTGGGGGTCCATAAAAAAGGCAGGACGTTTTCAACACGATCAAGTTGTTCTTTTCAAATTCGCCATAAATAACAGATCTTGATTGGAACCATTGTCACCAGATTTCTTTGGAAATGCGATTCAAACTGTTAGAACAATGACCACAGCTGGGAATTGCTTGAACAGAGTCTTGGATGGGATTCTTGGCTATTGCACCAAGCTGTGGCTAACCACACCAACAAAGCGGTGGGTAGTTTTGTTGACGAATGGCTTCGTTCACAATTTATTTACCAGCTTAGTCGGTCTTTTGATCCACATTCCGTAATGAAGGGTAGCTCACCAAGATTCAATGAGTACAAAAATTAGTTTGGCTTGGGGAAAGCACTGAAACGTGGTAGCGGATATGCTCACAAGTTTGATGGGAATGTTGACTCATATCCAGGAAGCCGAGGTGGAGGAGGTACAGACTTGGAATCCAACGAGGAGCTCGTGGCTTTTGTTTCTTCCCCCATCTAATAAGCTTAATTAGTTGGCGGAACTGTCCCATGCAGTCCAAGTCTTACCAACCGCTGCCAGTATTATTCTTGAGCCTCATCTGCCACTAGCAAGAAAGAAATAGAAGGATTGAACTTTGAGTATGTTTGTTTCGACATTTCAGATCTTCCACATCAAATGGATAGATTGTCTCATACAAATTCTGGCTGCGAGCAAGTACTTTATCCATAGCCATCACTCTGCTTCTCACTGCCTCAATCACGGAAAGAGTTCTTTTTCTTCTGTTGCTTGTTCATTTTGAGCATTTCCATGTTCCAAAAAAAAAAAAACATTTCAAGCCTTTTGCCTGGAATTGGCATTAACAAACTAGCGGCATAGGGTGTGACAGATATTCCCTGACAGTTCCATGCCTATATTTGCTTTTAATTATATGAAAGCATATTTACCTTGATATGCCGCAAAGGACCTCTATAATTTGTTGTGGACTGGACCAAGTCAGTATGATTTAACCGAGAATACTGTGGGGAGGGCCTTCTTGGCCGTGTTGGAAAGAAGAAGAGCAATTGCCTTACGAAAAGCTGGTTTGTCCAAAACACAATTAGCCAAAGGGCCCCGGATCAGAATAACAACTTCCACTATGTAAATATAATTTCCATGTGCGAGTTGATAGCTCGTTTACATTTTATTCTATCCTACCAGAAAAAGGAAAAGAACCTTCCACCCGCTCAAACGCCTCCATGCAACACATTCTACGCCAAAATTCAAGTGGTCTAGACGAGTCCAAGTCAGCTAGGAGAGATGATACCAGAAGCAAAGTGAGAGTTAGGCAGGCATAAATTTACTGTCCAGAGGACTTGGGCATTAGGCACTAATTATTATGAAACAGAGTCAGCGCCAATCTTTTGCATTAAAACAGGCACTAGCCTCATTAGAAACGCAATTGACAGAATGCTCCAGGCTGGAGCCCATCCCCGTGGCTCTAATATTGGCAAAAGATTTTTTCTCTTTCGAGCAAAGGTAAAATTAATAATAATAATAATACCAAAAAACAAATGCTCGTAAAAGAGTCACCTCTAAACCTATCAAAATAAACCAGACTTATTAGGTTGATCCATTTATTATTGAAAATGAGGTCAGTTGGATATGAAACTTTAAGCTCGTACTAAAATTGAGTCTAAATAGGCCAACTTATCTGATAAGTGAATTGAGGTGAGTTGAAACGGGTTAGAAAAAAATTAATAATTTTAATTATTTAATAATTTTATATATTTAATTATATAAAATTAATAATTTAGTTACTAATGATATTGTTTATTTTATATATATTTCAATATCTTTAATATTTACTAATCAAATTAATAATTTTAGTTTAGATTAAAACTTACTATCTCTTTTTCTTGTATGGTAATTAATATTTGATGATAAATTGATTCAAACTTTGAGATATTATTACTGTCTAAACAAGATTTAAATGTTTTGCTCTAGAATGAAGATTGAAGAGGATATAAATGAGTTTTAAAGTTTTTATTATTTGGTTATATATTTATGTTTATGGAATGATAGTTTGTGTTAAAAATTGAAATTTTATTTATGAAATTTATGTGTTTTTAACATATTTTGATTATTCAATTTATAGATTAAATTATAAATAATTTTATTGATAGAAAATTTGTTAGGTAAAATTATAAAAATAATTTTTTTTAAAAAAATAAGCTGACTTGATCTGATTCATGAACTAATAAGAGTTAAAATTTTGATGGTTCATGTAAAAAATAACTGACTCGACTTAATTTATATTTTCTCAACTCACAAAGATTTGGGCCGGTGGCCGGAGTCAGACCATGTTGACACCACTACTCACCTCACCCAACGCCTGGAGGCTGTTCGCCTCTGAATTTATAACTCAAGTTTGCGGCGTGGGCTAATGACCCTAGGGCCGCCCCATCTCAAAAGCGCATTTAAAATTAAGAAAACAAACGACTTTTTCCCCGGATTTCGGACACCTCGGACACTTGCTCCCCACATTCGGAGCACCTGTTCCTTTTGTCTTTCCTGGTCTGGTGCGTGGTACCACTTTCCAGAAGATTCAGCCACGTGTCCAATTGCCGAATCTATCAGCGCTTGCCGCGAGTACGGCTGAGCCGAAAACTATGGCTACCCCTCCAAATTGGGAAAATCCCGCGAGTTTTGGTTAAGACATTCCTCTGTATTACCATTTTTTCGTACTGCCTGAAACAGCCCCCATCTTCTGAACTGCCAGCTAAGCCAAAAACTGGGATCTAACGGCTGACAGGTCACAGATCATTGGGTTTTCAGCCAACAACAGTCACGGTGGTTTCTTCCCTGGATTTCGTTTTTGACCAATCCAAGGATCAGTCTACGCTTTCCGCCGTCAGCGTGTTAACTCACAGAGCCAATGAAATCCCTCCACGTCATCAAAAAGCTCTCCCATTTTCCACAGCCTTACGTACCAACAAGCAAAGCCGCAAAAAATGTGCGAAAATTAAAAAGAAAAAGAGGATAGATCAGGAGAAGGTACTCCTGTATAGGACGCTACCACACTCTCACTTGCAAAGAAGCTTCACAGGCACGCTTTCTGTTACAAAAACCCAAAACCCCAGCCAAATGAAACTCCCTTCTCTCGTTTCCTCTTTCTATGAAAGAAATAGGAAACTCCCAAAAAAAGAAAAACCCTAGAAAAAAAAAATCACTTCTTTCTTTGATTCGACAAAAAAAAAATTCCCAAAATGTGCAACAATTCAGATTCGATTCTTCCATTGACAGAAATTCCAGGAGATTCATCCAGAACAAGGTCGTTATATCATCTTCCACCTGGTTGCCGATTTTTCCCTTCCGAGGAGGAGCTTCTTAACCACTACCTCACTGGGAAAAACAGCTCCGACGCCTCCGATCGCGCTGACATGTACGGATACGATTTGATCAGGGAACTTAACTTGTACGACTACGAGCCGTCTGATTTGCCGGAGGGGGTGTGCTTTGTGCACGGATGTCGGGGAAGGAAAAGGCACTGGTTTTGTTACACGGAGAGAAAAGGAGAGAGGAATAAGAGGAGGGCAAAGGGAGGGTTTTGGAGGAAAATAGGGAAAGTTAAGGATGTGTTTGATGGAGAAAACGTATTGGTGGGGACTAGAACTAGATTTGTATTTTATGAGGCTAATTCTGTTAAGAAAGCAGTTAGGACTCCTTGGATTATGTACGAATATGCCCTGCTTCACCATCGCAAGGTAAAAATTACTTCTTTCTTTAAAGTTTTTATCTATGGGGTCATATTTTGAGGAATTGCTTCTTGTTATTGATGTTTGGTAGGTAGTGATGAATTGTAACTGACAAATTTTGTATCTATTGCAGATTTAATGTTGTGCTCTCCAGTCTCCAAGAAACCTTCTTTTTTTGTTTGTTTTTAATGCTTCTTTCTTTAATGTTTTAAAGCCCCATACCTTTTGCTGTTTATTAATTGACCACGACTCTTTTCAATCAAATATATTTGCAGGTGTCCAAAAGGAATTTCTAATCTAACTCGAAGCTTTCCAAAACTTCAGTGGGTTAATTCCCCCATTTGTTTGTATGTGGCTTTGAGTGGTTTTTGAAAGGGTGCATTGTTGTTTTTCTAAAATGCTTTAGATGATGCATCATTAGAGTGAACATAATCTTGGTTTTGTGTTCAGTTGGTTAGGCAAATAATGTGAAATGATTTGTTCTCAATGGCCACATGAAAATAATTTTGCTTATTGTTTTTACCTTCTCAATTGGAGAAACTTTTATTGGTGTAGATTGGGGTATTCTGAGTCCTCAATAAAGATAATTTCTGCCCAAATTTTCTAGTGAAGTCTTAGTAAGTTCCGACTTTTATATGCATATTCTTCCAAAAATATCAACTTTTTTGTAATTAATGATGCCTTTTTGTGAGGTATCTTTTATTCTATGCTGAACATATGAAATTATGTTTAGATTGGTTTCAAGGGTGCGGGCGTCTGGCAGTGTTACTTCAATGAAAGTTGATGTCTCTACCATTTGCAGGCCTCTTTTGTCCTATGCCGAGTATTTGTCAAATCTCGTGCTGGAAATAGTGTATCGGAGAATGTTTTAAGCTCTTGTGCAGAAGAAAGTGTTGCAGCTGTACGTCACATCGGTATCCAGCATGATGGATTTCTTTCACCTGACATTCTTGAAGCTGAAATCAATGGTGATGACTTCACTAAACAGCTAGATGAATCAGTAGCAACTAGATCTGTTTCTGTTCCAAGGTTTGAGTTCCCTTCAGTCGTCCAACCAGAGCTGCCCAATGATCTGGTAACCTATATTGAGCATACACTGCTTCTTTTTCTAACAAAGCATGCATTTTCAAATCTCAGTTGCATATTCTATAACTACTATCTTATGTCATGTATGTACAGATAAGCCCTTAGTTCTTTTTTTGTTACAGATAAGCCAACAATAATATGTATTCAAGGTTATGAAGTAATTGTGCTACACACTTGTATTGCTGTTTTAAATGTCATGTCTGAGCATTAAAATGAAGGATGTTGATCTATTCTTTTCAGTTTCTCACATTTTACGAACCAGATAAACCTTTTTGCCTATATTTGCTGTGCATCTCTAGGGAAATTTCCACTACCTGAAGTCTGAACTCCTCAAATGATGAGCATGTCTAAACTTTTTATTAGATGATGGCGCCTTTCCGCAAATTGAACAAGTTTTTCTGTGACATGGCTGTTATGCAGGTGGAATCTCAGTTGACTACCAATGATTTATGGGCAATTGTAGAAGGACATTTCATAGAGTTGAAAGATCTCGGGCATTGATTGTCCGTGATAAACCATAAAGCAGATAGGAGCAGTTAACTCGTTGGAGGTTTAATTACACCAAAATAGCAAGAGAATGGATTTATATTTTCATCAACCTAATACAAAACAAGAAATTTTCAAATCTGAGTAGCGAGTAATGTAATGGCAGGATCACTCACCTCCTAAGGTCATTTCTCTTTCCTCTTTTGTGGTAAGTCTTTGAGTTGATAACATTCATGAAAGTTTTAGTGAAATTATCTTTTGGTTCACCAGACAGGTTGCACTCATGTGCTAATATCAGGAATTTGCTTCGGAAGAATTTAATTATCATGCAGTTTTGCTTCAGAAGAATCAAATTATCAGGAATTTTCCTTCAGAAAATATAAGTACGTGATACATTGAATGAGTCAGACAATTTCAACATGAGGTGCTTCACCTGGCTTCCAAGTTCACCTATGATGATGGGTTGAGAAATTCTTTCCACTCAAT